TTTCTAATTTTTTGTTTTCAGTCAGCCACACCATCACTTATGTAAGTTTATATTAGGAATTTTTATTTATTTGGCTTCTTTATCTACTCTCTAGTAGTATTTCACAAATGAACAAGTTATCAGCATAACAGCAGGACTAAGGCATTCTTTAATTGCTTTGGGTGAGTCAGATAAAACTTCAAAAGAAAACTATGCTCCAGTAAATATGTAAGGAGAGACAAAATTATTAGCTTTGGGGATATCATTCTGATATAACAGAATTCCCTGGACAATGTGCAAGGAAGGGTAAAGTAGCTGGAAGGGGAGTATAGGGTTGTAAATATAGAATACTTCATGGAAAGTGCACGGTGTTTACACACGAGTTGTGGCGTATCAGAAATCGAACAAGTGAGCGAAGCGAACGAGTGAGATTTCCGATACAAAACAACGAGTGTGTAAACGCTGTGCAAAGCACTTTCCAGGTGGTATTATGTTTGTTATATACATACTGAAATTGAACACCCTCCTTAAATTATGACAAGCTTTATTTAAACAAAGTGGTCAAACAACAATCACTGAAAGAAAGCAGCTTCGTAAAAAGGGAAAGAGCTCAAATAAAATCCAAAAGCTATGAATCCAAAAGTTATGAATCATGGATAACGAAACGCTTTTCGCTCATGGCTTTCGCCGAGACAGGAACTTTCAATATTAACGATGGAAGAAATGCAAATATAAACTATTTGCAAAGCGAGGGCTTGTGCAGTGTGTAAAATCCAAAAGTTATGAATCTTGGATAATGAAACGCTTTTCACTCATGGCTTTCGCTGAGACAGGAACTTTCAATATTAACAATGGAAGAAATGCGGGTAAAAACTATTTGCAAAGCGATGGCTTGTGCGGTGTACAAAACCGTGCCAACCAGCCTTGAGTGAAAACTTCAACTTGCCGTACGGCTCACATGTGAAAAAACATGATACGCAGCTCCTGATTGGACGTATTGCTTTTCTCACATGTGGGAAAAGCAATGCGCGACATTTGATTGGTTTGCATTGGTTTGCGAACGAAAATTTAATCTGCAGCTTTTCCGTGTCTAAATCTCAGTATGTATATAATAACAGGTGATACTTGTTTTAAGACTTTAATTTGCATAAACATAGTATTGTAGATGTGTCACTTCATGTACATTGAAATGTACTTAGCAGCTAACAGAGCCCGAAATATAATTGTGACGTTTACAGTGTAGACCTCACTGTCTTGAATACTTGGGACAATGAAAAATTGGTTGAGGCAGCAGGGGTTTGAGAAAAAAAAAAGTTTGGATAAAAAAGTGGCATAGTTGGTAATTTAGATGTTCATAACAAAAGGTTCAGTGCAGAGTCCATACAATTTCATGCACTGTTGACATCTTCTAATTTGTAATGTTTATCTTTCATCTAAGCTGATGGATCTGTGTGGTCTTGGGGAGCAAATAAGAAGGGACAGCTTGGCATTGGAAAAACTGGTGGCAATTGTTCAACTCCTCAACAGGGTTAGTGTATTTGTTTTGCCTGTCATGGTAATTTTGCTGGTGCTGCATCATTATGAAATCTCCATATT